GCGAAATGAATATATTCGTGATAGGGTTGGTGTAGCTCCTGTGACGGATAAAATTAGAGAAAGTCGTCTTAGATGGTTTGGTCACATTAAACGCCGACCATCTGATGATCCGATTAGGAGAGTAGATGTTTTAGATTCGACTTGTGTTAAGAAAGGCAGCGGTAGACCTAGGAAGACTTGGGCTATTGTATTAAAAATGATCTTAATTTACTAGAATTAAATGAAAATATGACACTAAATAGGACGCAATGGAGAAAAAGGATTCATGTAGCAGACCCCACGTAGTGGGCTTAAGGCTTTGTTGTTGTTGTTGTTGAGATAATTGTTTGATGCGAAACTTCCTATGAGAATAAACACATACATTTGCATCCACGACTTTAGCTACATTCAGCCTACTTATATGCTTAGGAACTTTATTTGTCCACCCTAGTACAAGTCAAGTTCATTGGAGAACTTGAAGAAGTCATCATGCTTGCAACCAAGACATAGTTTCCACTAGTCCTTGAGAATATGAGGGTGTGGTTCTATTGACCGAGCTTAGTAGATCAGGGATCATACAATTTTTTTTCTGCTAACATGGCAATGAGGAATTATCGGATTTCCCAAGAGGTATGCTTAGGACATAGATATAGATGGATGTTGTCAAACAACATAAAAACAATATCAATCTTGCACTTGTATGAGTTGCAAGTAAAGTTCTTATCATATTTTTGGTGAATATTTTGTAGTGATTATAATAATTGCAGGCTTGAATAGTTAAGTGAAAAAAAATTACTTGCAAGCTTGATCATTACTCATATTCTAAGCATCATGTTTTACATAACTTATCACAAAGAACATGTAAAAAACATAAGGGATTATTTGGTTGCAAGTATATAGAATTCAATAATATTTAAAATACAATTATTTGCAATACATGAAGTAGTTAAATTGATTGGACAACAAATTTTGGAGATTTCTTTTTTGTGTATGGTTAAAAAAATCAAAATTTTAAATAATAATAATAATAACAACAACAACGATGATGAAAGAACCTAATACACAACACTAGCAAAGATGTATGTCCCGTGAGAGTTGCAGGAATGAGGTTGGAGGTTATCAGAGAACGAGTAGGTCACAATCTTAATGAGATTGCAATTTTTTCCCAAGCCATTGATAGGCGTCATCAATGAGGAGGGGCATTGTCAGGGTCTGTGCATGCAACATGAACTTGATGTCATTGTGCGAAGGCTTTGTGTGAGTGTCATCGATGCAAAAGCGTCATTGGACAGGTGAAGTGTAGTGTCAACATGAGGTTATGGTGATGATTCTTCAACGATAAGGAGGATGTGAATGCTTCTACATGGTTGGAATTACCTCGAATTAAGTAAATTCCAAGTCCATAGAAAATGAAATACTAGGCATGTTCCAAAGAGTTTAACAATTTACTTTGGATTTATTTTTCTTCCATCCAAACAATTTTTTTCTTTCAAATAATTATTCTTTTTTTTCCCATCCAAATACTTAAATTTTCAAAAAAAAAAAAAGTTCATTTGGTTCATTTGGTTTACTCTATACTGGTTTACTCTATACACATATTACATCAAAACAAACAGCTCATCAATGCAACATCAATCATCCCAAATAACTCAACAATTGATACCAAAACAAAAGCACTCATACGTAAGCTAAACATTGAAAGAGTGATCATATGACACAAAAATTTTCTTAAAGGCCATTTTTTTTCCCGAGATCCACCAAATTTTGAAAATATATCTTTTGATTAAGAAGAATATGTGCACGTATCTATAATTTACTGAATTTCAAATGCAAAATTTGGTGATGAATGGTTCTGTTCCCACTTTCCTTTCACTGGTTTATTAGGAGATATGGTTCTTCACCGTTGGATTTGTCTAACATATTTCTATTATTCATTCAGCACAGCTTCTATTCCGCTTGACACAAGCTACCCATTACCATTTATGGTAAACCAACTAATTTTTAGGATAATATTTTGACATGCAACACCATTTCTTACACTTAGTTGGTAAATGCGACTTTGGCCCCTTGAGTTTAAAGATTATACATAATTGATTTTGCACTATGTAAGAAGTGCCCAAATTCATCTCCTAAAAAATACTTTTAAAATTGATATTCACCAAACACACCAAACATTCTTCCTGAATCTATACTCTTAAAGTCGCTCTAGGAAATGACTGCAATAATCTGTCAATTATCATGGCGAGTCTTTTCTCCATCTCTACAAACTACCTTCCTATGACAAATGTATGATTGTCCATATTCACTCATGTCTTTATTAAAATAGTACTATTCTTCTAATTTTTGCCAGATTTCCTCACTAGCCACGTTTTAGAGGATGCTGAAAACAAAATTATATTTGAATTACACCCAAACCTTACTAACACATCCAATTAGAGAAAAGAGTGAAGATGAGAGGGAGAATAAAAAGTGAGAAGCTCTAAGATTTTAGTATGTGATTGTATAACATGAGATCTCTCCGCGATCCCTTATTCATATGTTTGAATCCGAATTTGAGGGTTATAGGAAAGACAAAATAAATAAATAAATTACATTGTTAAGCCTGAAAGTAGTTGCCATAATATATATATGAGGCATATAATCTGTGATTATATTAGAATGACTACTAGTTATTTAAGTAAGAATTCGGCTAGAAGAAGCCAATAACTTTTCATTAAATGAAGATAACAACTTGACTAGAGAAGTTGCAATAGCTAGTATGAATTTTAGCACGTAAATCTTGGGCTTGAGTAAATATGCTTGGTCTTGGCGGAGTCAACCTGAGTGGTAGTTGATTTGAGTAGACTCTTGCTCATCAAGATCCTAGTGAGTTCAAATAGAACTTGGCGACTTCATACTGACCATAATGAGTACATACCAATCCCGAAGAGTTATCTAGAATTATGCAATTGAGCCTTCAAGATATTTGGATTTATATTTGCCAACCCAAAAAAAAAAAAAAAACCTATCTTCCTGTCCATGCCACAAAGTCCCAACTAAATAATGAACCAAGGTGGAGCATAAGAATAGCAAAAAGAGTTTAGTGTATCAAAGGACTCAACTGTAACAAGTGCAAAGGTTATTAAGCAACAATCAGTGTAACTAGTGGAAAATGACGGTAAAGTGATTCCCACTAACATCAACATAACATATAATTAATCCCTTAAATTTGAAATTGTTGAAAAATTAATTTTCCAATAAAAAGAAATAGGTACTGGCTTAGTTATCTATAAGTCGGCTCTAATTTCACTATTTAAAGTGAAGACACTTCACACTTCAAAATGCCTTAGCAATGTCACACATTGACATGTGTAAAACATCCTTGGCATATTTACAACACTCATAAAATCATGCCTAAGAAGTTTCCCAAAAAGTATAGTTGGACAATTAAAACATGAAAGTTAACTTCGGTTAAATCTTTTTCCTTTTAATTTGGTATGATGTCCTTATTTTGGCTCCCATCTTATTCATTTTTCATTAATTTATTTCAGTCTTTTCAAATCAAGCCTCAGCAAACACTAATTTGTTACCCCGTCTCCAATTCATCTTGCCCGTGATCTTCATCTTGTTAAGCCAACCACATCACTGATCCTCTACCAAGTCTGCTATTCCCCCACTGTTTCTCACGCCATAAACACTTTCTAACATCATTATTATGCATTCGAAGACCATTTTCTTCAACTCAAAGACCACGTCTCTCTCCTTATGCCCAATTGTGATTTAACTTTACTTTTCATAATCATAATTTCATATGAATTGTCTTCTCATGAGGTTTTCTTTCTTTCTTTTTTTTGTGCGGTTTATTTTTCACTAGTTCTCTTCAAAGTAGATATTATTTATCTTCATTCTTCATTAAAGCTTTTTATTTTAGATTTTCTCAACTTTTTTTTTTCAACAGTAAATGTTTAAGGGTTTTTAATAATAATAAAAATTGATATTAACTGTTTAAATTACATACCTTAAATTAAAAAAAAAAATTGTCTCTATCCCATATCATGTCCATTTTTTTACAATTATGTTGTAATGCATCCTATTTTTTACAATTATACTATGATATGTCGTTTAAGTGGATAGTTGAACGTAGTTTTTAATTAAAATAGCTTATTTTGATTTTGTGTTGCATGAAATTTAGTTTTCATGCATGTTGAGCATCATTGTCGTCTAGCATTGATAGATAATTTTTAAGACATTTTTTTCTTATGTTATTCAATTGCTAATACACTCAATTTTTTTTTTAAGATCTCCACTTCTTTAATGTGCCACGTTTATCATATGCTATGGCTCAGATGGATCATTCGGCCATTGTATGCCATTCACCGTTAAAAATATGATTGATGATAGAGCTGGGAGGAAGAGTGGTGGACCAAAATTAAAAAAACTTGAATATTTACATTAGAAGATTGCTAAACAAGGATTAACACTAGATGTAGCTATCAAAAGAATGAATGATCAAAGAAGGGTTAAAAATGTCACTTCAAAATAGTTGGGGTGTTGATGATGGTGATGACAGCAACGATTGTATGGATATGAAGTTACAAACATCCATGCTCTTCATTTTAGAAGGTATCAAACTTTTACATCATAAAGAAGGCTGATTGATCAGATAAAGTTATCCATAGAATGATAAAATTATGTTATTAGCATGACAAAAACGAAAGAGAATCAACACAAATTAAATTATTTTCTATGCAGATAACCAGTAAGCTAATCACACGTTAACACAATTATGAAAACACACTCAGAATAATTTTGTTGGCTCATGAAAAAAAAAAAGTACATCACAAATTCCTGCAATGATATGATTAATATAATTTAAACCAAGATGCCAAGAACGAAACAATTCATCAAAAATAAAATCAACATGGTCTCTTGAACTTACAAACCAACAACTTTCAAGTCAAGGAGAGAAGGGCAAACTGATAATGCAATAGCAAATGCAGGGCCATCCATTTTATCGATATTGTGCAGGTGCAAACTCCTCAAATGTGCCCTACCAGGACAAAGGGAAAAAGGGTTTTATGAACTTACAAATATGTTTCCATTTTAAAACAGTATCAGACAACCGCAACGTACCCTGCAGCAGAACCATCAGCACTTAAAGCAAGCAAGCAAGATCTAGTAAGTATACAAGGTTCCTTTCCCTGCCTAGGCCTTCTTTCACTCCATGAAAGACCTAATAATTCCGTGGAATTTCTGGAGGAATAAGATGAGCTTCTAATAACATCTTCATTTGCTACTGATTTGGGCCATATGCCAAGCTTAAGGGACCTGAATTTGAAATGCAAGTGAGATTAAAAATGAAGACAAATAAATTAAATTTAGGAAACTGAAGATTAGCATTCATCAATATGATGATAAAAAAGAATAAAACATTAAAAAGTCAGTTTAGTCAGTGAAATAGAAGAATGAAATTATTTCTTATTTTTTGGAAGTAACTTTAATCAATAAAACTTGATTTTCCATTTTTTAAAATGGACGGTAACAGCAGCAACCATCACCTGGTCCAAATAATTCAGGCACAATTCAGGGGACTTCGATGAAATTCACTTTTGCAGTTAGTTCTCAACAATATACTTTTTACACTTTTACTCATAATTGCATGCCGTTGCGAACTGGAAAAGAAAAGCAATCAATTATGCCACTGATGGCAACTAAAATAATTTCAAAACAGCAAAGAAAATGGATGGCGAGATTACTAAAATTCAAAACAAACTCAAAAGCTGCTCAGTTTATGGGTCAAGGTTCGATACTTGAAATACATGTTCTTTGAACATATATGAACTTAATATTAAACAGTTAATGATTTCATATCAGCTCAAAATGATTTTAATTGGTTCAAATTCAAGCTTGTTTTAACTTAAAATACCCAAAACTTGCTCAGTTGTGGTCAATGTTCAATATTTCCATTAAATGTTTTTGGAACGTGTATCAATTTAATATTAAGCAAGTGATGATTTTAAGCCAGCTCAAAAGGATATTAAATCCATTTGGTTTCAATTTGTTATAGTTTAAGACATCTCAGAGAGGACAATAAATTAGTTTGAGTTGAGTTCAGATTGCAACAAATTTGCCATGTTGTCATTCAATGATTTTAACATACATATTGAAAATTATTTTCACAAAAAACAAGTGAGTTTTGAGTATAAGATCAAATACACAAGCAACAAATGAATCATTAAATATGCATATACATATACATTATACATACATACATACGTAAATATAAATGGCAAGGAGTTGGATTAAAAATATTAAACCAGCAATCCGCAATGGCTCAAAAAAGAAAGAAAATCACACTTCTCACACGCTCAAGTAAAATTTCCTCCACTGCCTGATGGCATTTCACCAATCCCAAATAGCGAAAGAAACTTTGGTCATTCCCTGTTCTCCCACCTTCAAACCTTCCCAAAACAGACACCAGCCAAATCCAGCCACTGCCATCTAAAAGCCCCCTTGAGCATCTCTCCTCTCCCTACATAAATCGACCAAAGAGCATCCAAATAGGTAAATTCTACCATCGAGCTAATAATGTGCGCGTTCGTAGGATTTAGCATGAGTACAACAATCTTTCAAAGCTCCAATAAAGCTCGACGACAAGTACAATAATGGTCTAAGGTCCAATGACTTAGCGAAAGGAAAAGTTGCGCAAAGGGTTGGTTCGATCGGATCAGTTAAAAATTTTATTAAACCATATAACAGACAAATCCAAACCAACTAAATAAAATATAAAACCAACCCAAAATAAATTGAATTCAATTGAGTTTATTTGGTTTTGCTTTTGGTTTTGGTTTAAACGAATTTTTAAATTCTAATGAATGTGTACATTCGGTCAATTCGGATTTGATGGGTTGCCAGATTTGTTAAGCAAATTGTACAGCTGCAAAAACCTCCCCGATCTAGATAAGAGTGAATGAAATTTTGGGTTAATGCATTAGTTTTAAAAAAGCAATATAGCCACCTCAAAGAGACTCTAAACGGATAGTTGGTGAAGCGTAGCAGCTGAATCCTATACATCATTCAATTGTGTCATCATTGAAAATGGCGACTCTTTTTTTTTTGTTTAAAAAAACCTCAAAAAAATAAAACCATGAATGCTACAAAAAAGTGTAGCTCAAGTATTCCCTCTGCACCGCCTGAAAGCTGAAACAAGTTGCTTTCCCTTTGGAAATTTAACAAATTATATGGTAATGGATTGAAGACAATTTTCTGTGTAAAATACTAGTAAAAATCTGTGATTAAAACCAACAAAGTAGTCCACCAGTCCGAGTTTCCCATCTAGTTCTAGCAAAAAGCAAATGCACTGTGGTTGTCAGCTCCTCCAAACAAAGCTTAGCAGAACTCTAGGCATAATTTAATGTTGAACTCGCAGCCCAATCACTCCATGCTACATGCACCCAGCTCGACCAATCTAGAGAATTCGTAATGGATCATCCAATGATAAACTAAAATTATTGTTTCAATATTCCGTCCAGTCAAAAACATATATAATATCTGCTCCTCCTGAATGAATGGATCCTACCATCATGTTCTTGAGCCAATTTCTATATAGCTAAAGGCACTTCCAGCGGATCCATGGTATTGGCATACCGTCTCAGATTACTCGGCCAATCAAGGAAAACCAAGCTAATGCTTATTCGAAGTTAAAAAGGGATAGTTTCAACGATAAGATAAATCTTTAAAAGCACCTCAAAATACATTAACCCAAAAGTCAAATTGTTGAAAGTCGTAACAACCCTGGATTGGATTTCATTGTAAAAGACCCATGTTAAAATCCAGAAATTACACGGAATCCTGAATTCATGTTAAGTCAGACAAGTTATCCGAAAATCTATTTTAAATGCAAATTAAGAGTATGAAATTTGATAAAATATATAGAACTTCTAAATAATTATATCTGATCTCTTTGGCAATTTTATAAAAAACAATAATAAAGAACCGCTAACAACAAACTCCAACCCAACTTGCCGACATGACTCAGGATTAAGATTTCCTTGCCATTGAGGTTGTAAATCACTCAGCTCACCTTTCATAGGATGTAAGCCCCAAACCATTTTGATTTGGTCACTACAAACCCAACAAGCCTACTTTATCAAACTTCAACCTTTGCACCTTCATCAAAATGCAAGCACCTCCTTACTTTCCTCGATCATTCACAATTGTGTCGATTCACCAGTGCAACCTAAAGGGAATGAAATTTACCTAATTGAGAATTACTAGATACATAATTGCATTAATATATGTGTTAAGATACCACAGCACCGTAATGGAACTCGTTCCAAAAGTGCTATAAGCTAAACCAAATAAAACAAAATCAACAATGTCTCTAGAACACATTTCTCGAGTTAAATTAAAGTCCCGTCATTAATCAATAGTTCCTTCCTATAAATAGGATGAATAAATAAAGGGGCAAGCATTTATACGAAATATCAACCTCAAATCTATATGAATCTTTTAAACATCAAAAGATCCTCTTTGTATCAATTTGCCCAACATAAAAAAGTCCAACCAGAGTTTTAAATAATATTGCTAGAGTTTAGCAATTATTTTAGGAGCCACAGAAAACGATAATAAACATTATATTTCCTATAAAAATGACTTCCTTCTTATTAAACAGTTTCATGCAAAAGGTAAGGAAATCAAAGGCAGTGCTAGAACTGCAACCTGTTGAAAATAAGAAGGGCATCATAGCAATTGCAGAGATTTGTCAAGCATGCCCTTAGTTATTATGAGATTTTGGAAAAAGCGATAGAAAAAAAAAAATTATTTCATAAACCTGAGGCATATATTGCCAGCATTAAAAACAAAATTATTGGGAAGATAGAAATTAGTTGAAGTCTTACTTAAGGGCTTTCCCAGCTCGTTGTATCATAGTAGAGACGACCGTATTATTAATCTTTGGATCCTTCGCAGTCAAGTCAATATTACAGTAGCATAATGGATCTCCGGCACACTTACTGAACATGGAGCATGCAGCCGCTGCTTGACAAAGACTTCGTGTATCTAGGATGGAAAATACCTTCAAATCACCAAAATATAAAATTATCAGATTAGTTTCATCTGTTTTGAATATTGCAAACAGCTGCTATTTCTTGATTTGGATTAAAAAGTAAGCTTTAACACCACATCAAATCTCATATCATGCTGTAAAGATGAACAATCATAAACCAGAAGAATTCATGAATTGAATATGAAAAAATCCAGAAAACAAGCATACGAACTTGAACAAAAACAATATAAAAAAGGAATGATCATCATTTGACTATGATTTCAATAAGGTAAAAGGAGTGGTTACATAAATACCACCCAATTCTTATCTATTTACATAGCTAACACCTAAACTCTAATTTTTTACATTTATGCCACTCAGATCTTTCATAGCACATCAAAAAGACCACTATTTTAATTTAAAAAAATGAAATACACCTTTTCATGCATAGGTGAGTTGGCATATCTGTAAAAATTGAAGTTTAAGTGTTAGATATGTAAATACATAAGAACTGAGTGGTATGCATGTAAATCTTCCAAAGTTAAATACATGGATAATACAAATAAAACCTAATTAGATGAAAATCCTTTATAAATCACACATAGATATGAAAAGGGATCATTCAGAAAAATGAAAAACCATGTATAGTAGATAAATGTCAGAATCATGTCACTCATAATGTTTTTTTTTCATTATGTGTGTGCTTCTCTTTTGTTATTTAATTTGTGATATATCATTCTTGATTGTCGTATTCAAGTTATTTGTTGCATTTCAACAACAACAAGCCTTTATCCTACTAAGTGGGGTCAGCTACACTACATGAGGTCAGCTACATGAATCCTTTTTCTCCATTGTGTCCTATTAAGTGTCATATTTTCATTTAATTCTAATAAATTAAAATCGTTTTTTTATAAAATAAGCCCAAGTATTTTTAGGTCTACATCTAACTTGCTTAAGATATCTCAAATCTAAAACAATTACTCTCCTAAACGGATTATGAGATGATCGACGTTTAATGTTACCAAACTATCTAAGACGACTCTCTCTAATTTTGTTGTCACTGGAACTACACCAATCCTTTCACGGATACATTACACCATATTGTTTACTTATCTCCACCATTAAAAGACTAATGAATACTAGCTAAATAAAACAAAGGTCAAGCATAAGTTGATTGAAGAAATATCCTGCAATGGATAACACATAAGTGGTGCCTTCAAGTGCTATATCTTTCTCTAAGCGCATAAAATTTATTATCTCCCGTGTCACTGAGAAGGAAGTAAATAAATAAAATCAACTAAAAGATTGCATTCTTTCACCAAAATCTCTAAAATTAACATACAAACAATATACATTTCCATTGAATAAATGTATATTCAATGACATCCCCAAGTTTCCAAAACATAAAAGAAATTAAAGTATATTTGAACTGATGGCAAAGATGATAATGATGAAGATGAGTCCGAAGTTCTAATTAAAGTTTGCCTAAAGGATAGAAAAGAAACATATTTATCCCTAAATGTGAGCAACCCATATACAAAAGATCACAAATGCTTCCCAGTGCCCACAATAAGTTCATATTTAATACAGCTCAAAAATATATTGACTTGGCTTTTTAGCCTATATGAATGGGACGCAAATTTTTTGGGCATATTTTAAAATAGAAAATAAAATAAAATCAAGATACTTGATTACTCAACACAAGACAAAAGTAAGCTATCAACAAGAGCTCCCAATGCTCAATAGTTACTTATTTGAATCAAAAGATGTTGCCTTTTAGGGTTTGTTTGTGACAATTTTTCCTCTGCTTTGTTTTTCAAATCAATATCATGCTTTTGTTTAGCTATTGCTTCCTTGTTACTATCAGAAATTACTATGATAAGAAACAACTTTGACAACAGTATTTGCTGGAGTACAGGAAATGCAACAAAGCTGCTAAACATTTTTTTTTTAATTTAACGTTTACAATACCTACATCTGATTTGAAGTTGATTTTCTTTACAATCATCTTTACAATGCCTATTTTAAGACGTCCTATCAAACAAACACCAGCTTTCTAAATGCTTTGTATTGCTCATTCTATTTATGACAAATGTATAATATTATTATTAATAGAGAATATTCTAGTCAAAAAACTTCAAGAAATTGAAACCTAAGCTTATCACACGTCACCTAGCAGGCTAGCACTTATAAAACATGCTATAACCCCCACAAAAACAGGCTGTATGCGTGGATTTTTGGATTGAATCTAAGTCATATTTGTGTCACAATGACAATCCTGTGCTTCATACCATAAAAACGACAGCTAAAGTACTTGAAATTTTAATTAATATGGTTGCATTTAGAAACGTATTGATTTAAATTAAACTTAATAACCCCTCGACCAAGCAGTAAAATTCAAATTAATTTAAATTCTTGTAAAATTGATCCATGGCTAGGCCTTCCACCCACTGACCAAGTTAACTGATGCAGGTGCTTACAATTTGCAAGCGGCACAGGACGGGTTATAACACAGTGAGCCAGACGAATGCCATTGCCCAAACAAGAATTTACCAGACCCACATAACTTCCCCACACTTTCAACCTTTAGCACACCATCCGGAAGACGAAGTAAAAGGGGTGAAGCATTGATTTACTTACTTTAACAGTGAGATCCGACGGAAGAGGCCAGGACGCAGCGTTGTGAATGGAAGCACGCCTCCTGGCGGAACGAATAGCGGCTTCATGAATGGCCGACGCAACGCGCATGGCGTTTTCGATCAGCTTCTCCTTCTCCAAATCCTGAGCAGTCAAATCGAGGATGCGCTGGAGTGAGAGGTCAATGGAGACGGAAGGGTCTCGAAGCCCAAGGAGCGACGCCATGGAACCGTCAATGGTGGCGGAATTTGGTAAGACCGTCGTGTCGCCGATCGGCGAGATGTCACCGGAGCAGGAACGTTTCGAGGAGGAGGAAGAAGGGAGAAGGGCCTCCATCGCCGGGGTTGAGCTGGAGGAGGTCGAGATAGAGGGCTTCGTTCTGGTAGGATTCGTAAAAAAGAACGACGATGGAGAAGATTCGCCCACTCGGGCAGTGGAAGAGGAGGTCCAGCTGAAGATATTGCCATATTAATACCAACTAAAATAAGAAGTTGCATATTTACCCATTTAGCAAACGGTATTATAAATTTTATTTTACTCTTTTCATATAATAATTGAAATGTGAAAATATATATTTGTTGCATGTGTAAGTATATACGAATAGGGCTGTCAAAACGGCTCGTTGTTCACAGTTCGTGTTCGGTTTGTTAAGAAGCTTATGTTCGACTCGTTCCTTAAGTTAACGAGCCGAACAACTAAAATACTACTAATTAATTAATTAATTTTATATATATATATAATTGATTAGTAGTATATTTAAAAAATTAAATTGACTACAAAGATTTATACTCATATAAAATATTAATGAAGAAATTAGAATAAAAATTATTAAATTAGATTCAAATAATGTTTTAAATCTTATCATGATCTTTAACATCATATGGCTAAGTAATTAGGATTGTCAAAATGACTCTTTGTTCGTGAACGGCTAGTGTCCAGCTCGCTGAACAAACGAGCCGAACACAAAAACACCGAGCTTGAAGTAGCTCTTTTACACCCCTATATATGAATTAGATGGTATCTGTGTAAACGGAATTATTTCATACGGTCACTACATGCAGAAATACATAAGATGTCTGATATTCACCGTCCATCACAACAAAGATGTATAACAGTGAACCCAATTTAAAATTTTTTTTTTAGGGTTGTTTGTTGTGATGGACGGTAGATATCAGACTCCGTATGCATTTTTGCATACGGTGTCCGTATGAAATAATTTTTCGTGCAAATGCCCAAAAATATATACATTTATAATACACACCAAAAGCTTTTTTAAAAAATATTATTTCGAACAATAGAGCTTAACAACCATATTTCCAATAAATTACAGTGAAACACAACATAACAATTACTATTTTCAACATAAATAAATAATAAATAAAAAAGGGTATAAATGTAAAATAATTTTCAAATAGAGACACTATTAGGAATCCCCTTCCCTGTCAGCCCGCCCACTCCACTGAAGTCGGAAGCATTCGGATACAGCAGAGTATAGGGCAGACGAACACCTCCATTTCTGTTCTTCAACTCCTCATCTGAATTCCTCTTCAAAATATTCTTTTCAATTTCGACCAATCTCTCGCCGAATCTATGGAATGCCTGTAATGCCGCAGCTTCCTTGGTCCAATCTGAAGAGTCTCGCTGGCCGAGGTACATCTCGTCTGACGAATGTCGGGATAAGATTTCTATCAGCGCGACGCCTAAGATGCTCTGAGATTGTCCTGTGATCAGACATGAAGTTTTAGAACAGATATTGATGATTTGAAGATTATCCTTATAACTAAAAGCATACCTGTAATCGTCCTCAAGAAAACCAAATCGGGGTTCTCCCTGAGCTCCTCAAACTCCGGCGATCCATCCTCCGGAATCCACCGCCGGCTAATGGTGGGCCGATTCGGGGCATAGCCGGCGTAGGGATACTGCCCGAAGTTCACGGCGGCGTGGAGGGCGGAAGCAATCCATATGATTGTGGTGCAGGCATTTCCGAGTTCCGATACAGTGCGCATCTCCGGCCACCAAGGTTCGTCCCTCTTGTCGCCATGACCGATTTCTCTTATCTCTCTCCACCACCCCTGCAGCTCCCCGTCGGCGCAGACTTCATCGTCGTCGGGGTAGTAGATGGCGCAGTAGTCGATTACCCAGGCCTCGATGGCTGACCAGATTGCGAGGCCATCGACGGCGTAGGGATAGTCTTCGATTAGGAGACGAAGGTTGTTAGGGTTTGTCGGGTCTTCGATCGCCACACCTCTGCATATCAATACATGGTATTAGTGTTTTATTCTTATATATATAAATACATCTTATTTGGGTCTGTCAAAAATGATCCGGCTCTCCCAGACTTAAAAAATATTATGGCCATACATACATACCTCCTTAACAGATCAGCTGGGAGACCTTGTTCGGTGAACTTCCAACTCCGATACACTGCCGATGACATCTCCATCGCAAACTTACCAGGGAACACGGTAGCCTCCAGAATACCACCGGCATTAATGAGAAGCTGCCTTGCCAGCGCGTTTATGTTCATCGTGTCCCTGTAATGCGGGTACAGCAGCTTGTGTATCGGGTGAATCACGCTCAGTTGTCGGTGAGTAGCTATAACAAACGGTTCTATGGCTGCATGAGTGTTCAACCTGCAGACTCACTTAAGTCAGCACATAGTGTTTTTGTTATGTAAAAACAATGCGGATACGAAGAAATTCACGTCGCAACGTGGTTTCAGAGTGCAAATGAGTCAACTCACTTTGTGCGGATATGAATAAATTTTTATAATAGATCAAATTAACACTAATTATTAAAAAAAAAACCATCAATACAAGAGAAGAAAATTTGAGTTATGCGTACCAATGACTTATGAGTTGGTGGACGCCGGAATCGTTAACGGCGGCATAAGCCTTCGCAAGCTGCCAAACGGCCCCGTCAACGCCGCCATCATCGTCGCCCTCCCCATTCTCCGGCGGAGTGATGACACGACTGACGGCGCCGAGCTCTTCTCCCTCCGAATGAGGAAGGCTCAGCTCTATGGCCAGCGGTTTCAGAGTTCCGTCTTCACGGAGGAAGAGAAGAGTCCTGGACGCGTACACCTTGTTCGGAGTGCTCTTGTTTATGCGGTTCAGATAAGGCATCAAAGTATCGTGATGGTCCAAGATAAAAAGCTTGCTTTTTTCCAATGCCTGCGTGTTATTATTATACCAGAAGTTATCATCAAATCTTGCAGAGCATAAGTTAAAAGAAGTTAGGGTCTGTTTGGGGATATTCACCGTCGATCATCATGATTTTGGACAATTTTTTTTTTTTTAAATGTTAAAAGTGGGTCTCATCGAAACGGTATCCGCACGAAATGATTTTTTCTGTTTGGAGCAGGAAAACAGCGGTGGTAGCTTTCTGGCGGAGATTGGCTTTTTAAAAAGAAAAAATTTGTAATAGTCACTTAACCTCGTTTTTTAGCAAATTATTCAATAAGTCGGGGCAGCTGTAGCTTATTCAATAATCTGTTGATAAGTTCATTAAAAATAATTCGTTAATAAGCTAGGTGCGATGACTATCATAAATTTTTATTTTTTGAAAAAATCAGACCGCTACTAGTAAGTTGTCACCGCATTTAGATAGATGCGGTGTAAAAATACTATTTTTAGCATTTTCAAAACGCAGTTTATCCAAACAGATAAGGTGTATTTTAAAAATATCACTGCATCAAATAAGCTGCCTCAAACGAGACTTTAGTCTTACTTGTTGGACGGTGAGGCCGCTGAGGTTCCTTTCAATGTGAAAAGCTGTTATGGAACTCTCATGGCTGCCATAAGTATTGGGATCGAGCTGGCTCCTGGGAGGAAAAGCTTGAAGACGGCTTATGATGACTGGGTTGACTCCTGCTAGCATCTCCCTAGCAAATTCTTCGTCTGTTCTCCATGCATATTTATCATCTACATCATCAAAAATAGATTATATTACTCTAATCCCAATCAATGTGGTAGAATGGAGAAAGAATCACCTGTTCAAAATAGTTATAGGATGGTCGTTGATTATCATTATATGATATAATGTATGTGAATTTAACAGTTTCTTATTATATGCAGAACTCCAGAAAAATTTCTTATTCAGACTCCGGATGTATATCTACGTGAGGAGTCCAATAAAATGTCGCCACGTGCGCTACATCACAGAAGCTATTTCGAATTATTGAAGTGAAATCACGGAGATTATTTCAGGATTATTTCAAGGTTATTTCAGAGTTATTAAAGAGAAATCATATATTTCACTTCAATCATCATAAAATAACTCGGAAATAATCCTGAAAATTTCTCCACAGTTCCCCTTCAATAATCTCAAAATAACTGTGGTGTTATTTCGGGATTATTGAAGTAAAATCGTAGATATTATTTCAGAATTATTTCGGGGTTATTACAGTATTTATGGTTCCACTTTAATATTTTTTAGATAAGTCTTACATAGCACACATGACAATATATTAGTGAGATTATCTGCACTTAGAGCTACTTTCATACACGGGAAATAAAATTTTATCCCTAGTAAAAGGATTTGAGATATATATATATATATATACATACATTTGATGACTTGAGGCAGAGGAAGCTTAAGGAAACGCTCGCCATCCGTTCTGAAGAGCTCTTTGATCATCTCGAAAGGAATTCGGTTCTTCAGCTCGTCGACGGCGGGGCAGTCGGGCAGCCGGAGGCCTCCTTCGTAGAGCTTCAGGACATCATCAAACGAGTCGAACTCGGTGGGAGTGTTGTCGAAGAGAGAGCTGAGTGTGGGAACTAGATATTGGACGATGGACTTGAGCGCGTAGGTGAGGAAGTCCGACATTTTCAGGTGGCCGAATCGCTCGTCGCGAGGGACGTAGATGTTGAGGCTGAGGAGTGGGAGCCGGCTCTCTGTGGCGGGATCTGAGGGGGACGACGAAGAAGGGGTTTAGAAAGTAAATAAGATTTTTAGAAGGGGTGACTTGTATAATTTTACATATTTACATATATGCGTTTAAATGTAATATTTTTCCGAAATTATGAGTAACTAGGTACCGGTTTTGGCCGGCGGCCGGCCGGTGCGGCCACGGCGAGGGTAAGGGTATTCCTTGGAGCCGCCGAGAACGGGTCGGGCGAGGTCGGGAGACCTATCGGGGTCGCCGAGATCGTTGTAGAGGGCATAGCCATAGACTCTATCGTGCTCCTGAAGCATGCCCTCAACGTTGTCCCCTCTGAGATTCTGGAGCTCTTCTTCTCTATACTGAACCAGAGTTTCTGGTGTCTTGCTGGGAAGATAACTCTGAATTAAATAATAAGGTTGGTCAAGGATACAATCAGTGGTTTGATTAAATTTCTTTATTTTTCGTTTATTTTCACTTTTTTTTTTTTTCTTTTTTAGAAAGATAAGCTTGAAGGACTATTTGTGAAGCATGGGCTCAGTTCATGTCCAGCTCTTTAAGAAATATT